AGCTAGCCGATATATAGGTTCGAGAGGTTGTGGCACGACATGGAGTGCCTGTATCAGTGGTGTCAGACAGAGATGTCCGTTTTACTTCCAGATTCTGGAAGCGGTTTCTCGACGAGATGGGTACTCGTCTCCATTTCAGCACCACTTTCCACCCTCATACGGATGGGTAGAGCGAGATGACGATTCAGACTCTTGAGGACATGCTCTGGGCATACATCCTAGATTTCGGTGGCAGTTCGGATACGTATCTTCCATTAGCGGAATTTTTGTATAACAACAATTATCATGCGAGTATTGACCTCCCTCCATTTAAGATGCTTTATGGGAGAATGTGCAGGACCCCGATTTGTTGGGGCGAGTTCGGTCAACGCGTAATTGGGAGCACCGTGGTGGTGCTCAAGACGACAACGTTGATCCAGTAGGTTCATAGTAGACTGCAGACTGCACAAAGTCAACAAATGAGTTACGCCGATAGGAGGCATTTAGACTTGGAGTTTTAGGTGGGCGACATGGTCCTTCTGAAGGTATCACCCTAGAAAGGTGTCATCAGGTTTCAGAAGAGGGGCAAGCTAGGCCCCAAGTTCATCGGTCCTTTTAGGGTTTTGGCCCGGGTGGGTCAGGTGGTTTATCGGTTGGATCTTCCTGCAGAGCTTAGCCAAATCCACAACACTTTCAATGTTTCCCAGTTGCAGAAGTGTTTGGTGGACGAGTCAGCAGTCGTACCCTTAGAGGACATTCAGGTTGATGGCAGCCTGAATTATATTGAGAGACCGATTGTGATATTGGATCGAAAGACGAAGAGCTTAAGGAATAAGGTAGTTCAGTTAGTAAAGGTGCAGTGGCAGCACCAGAAGGGATCTGAGTGGACATGGGAGGTAGAGGAGGAGATGAGTGAACACTACCCAGAGTTGTTCAAAGATGCAGTAGCAGTAGACTTCAAGGACGAAGTTTGAGACAAGTGGGGGAGAGTTGTAACGACCCGATTCTGGTATGTTATATTATATTATTATTTATTTAAGTTTCAAGAGGGACTCGACGAGTCAGTAGCCCGACTCGTGGACTAGAGACGGGATTTCGAGCACGTTTAAGTTGGCGACTCGGCGAGTCCATATCTTGGACTCGGCAAGTCCATCAGTCTGAATGAAACCCTAAATCCCGGGGTTTTGCACCGTATTTAAGCCATGTTATGAGCCCCAACCTCATCCCCTTCACCCTCAGAGCATCATTTAGCAAACCCTAACTTTTCCTTGAGCATTTTGAGCATTATTGTGTGAATCTTGAAGTTTTGGAACAGAAGAAGGTAGCTAGATCCAAGGGAATAGAAGAAGGTCCAAGATCTTGCATCTATTGCAGAGTTATTGAGGTAAGAACTGGATTCCCTTTGTTGCTATGATTGATTCTCCTTTGTTGAATCATATTTAGACCATTTTATCCATTCCTTAGCTTATTTATGGTAGAGAAATCACATTGGGGTGATTGGACTTCGGGTCTAGCCATGTTTCAGTCCCAAAGTCGTGGATCTAACACCTTTATGGAGCCTTTTTGCTTGAAAGCCCTAGATCTATTCCTTTAAGTGTCTTTTTAGCCTTTAAATCCATTTTCATGCATATGTACACGTAAAGTTGGAAACTTCACGTGGTAACTAAGCTTAATGAACCTAGATCTATAAGTTGTATGCATTAGATTTGAGCAGAATCATTGGAGTAGTGTTGCATGCAACCAAATTGGCGGGTTGTTCTTCAGACTCGGCGAGTCGGGTCACGAGTCCCCGATTTCTTCCCCTTTTATGTGTCATGCCGAGTGGAATCAGTGAGTTATGGGTGGACTCAATGAGTCGGAGATCGGACTCATTCATGAAGGGACTCGACGAGTCAATGCCATGACTCGGCGAGTCCAAGGCAATCTTCATACCTCAAGAACAGACTCGACGAGTTGTTCATACAACTCGGCGAGTCACAACTAGAGTGTCATGTGTTGAAGAAGGACTCGATGAGTTGTTCATACGACTCGGCAAGTCGGATGCAGATTGACTGAGTGTTCGGTATCGAAGGGGAACTCATCGAGTCTATGCCAAAATCAACGAGTAGTAGCGAGTAGAAGCAAGAAAGTGAGAGTAAGGACTCGACGAGTTGGAAACCCAACTCGACGAGTCGGGTCAACTATATGTTGACTTTGACATATAGATTGACTTTGACCAGGGGTAAAATAGTCATTTTACCCTCAGTGTAGTTATAAGTGATTGATTGAGTGCACTTATGGAAATTTTAGCCGAAGAGATACCGGAGCAGCAGTAGACAGTTTCCTGAGATATTCATTAAGTAGCCAGATTACGAGATGAGTTTCCTTCGAGTAGGAACGGGTCTAAGGCCACAATGTCGGCCCGTTTAGCTAGCAGTAGTTTCTGGAATTCGATCCGATGCAGTAGTGAGTATGTTTGATGCCTTCGTGGCTCAGATAGGATTTTTGTTTTATGTGTTCCGGGCTATGACCTAATGCAGTATGCAATTTATGTGTTTATGCTAGATGATATGTGTTACGCTAGTTGATATGTGTTTATGCTGTGCTATGATCAGTCGGCTCTGGACTTTGGTCTGATGCAGTCAGTTCTGGACTTCGGTCCGATGCAACTAGTTCTGAACACCGATCTGATGCAGGGAACAAGGACCCAGTCAGTTCCGGACATTGGTCCGATGCAGTTTCCAGACATCGGTCCGATGCAGTGGACAAGGCCGAATATGTGATTTATATGTATTGTATGGTATGTGGTAGTTTGGGGGAGCTCACTAAGCTTCATGCTTACAGTTTCAGCTTTGGTTTCAGGTACTTCCGCAAGTAAAGGGAAGATCTAGAGATGATGGCATCACACACACCATAGCTTCAGTCGTTATCCTGGGAGTTTGTTTTGATTTACAGTTTGATTTGACAGTTGCTTCACGACATTTTATTATGATTTGAGATATTTTTCGTATGGATTTATGATATGACGTTTAGTATATGATTTTTATTATTATTAAAAAAAAATTTGGGTCGTATTTTGGATGTTACATCCTCACTCCTCACAACTTTAACCCCACATCAACAAATAAATCCTAGAAAAAGATAACTCGGGCAAAAAATGGCAAGAAGCGAGCTATGTACAAAAGTTGGCTAACTACAATCATCTAAAAGAGTAAGTGCTTCCACCAAAATATGATCCATGTAGAGAGAAGAGTCGAGCACGTGATGAGTAAAGGCCAGCTTGGTAGTTGCCAACAAAAATGATATCTAACTAGAAAAACATGAACTAGAAACTAATTACATGAGCTAGAATCCGAGAAACTAAACATTTACAAAAGCAAACAAATGGACACAACTCCGTGGCCCGACCTCTCTCTCTCTCTCTCTCTCTCTCTCTCTCTATCTCTCTTTTCAGACAACAAAATCCTAAAGATATGTTACAAATACAATAACTTAAGACACAAAGAGGAAAGCACTAAAACAGTATGTAATTACATTCACATTTTATGATTGCTATAACATCCGACTTTCTCTTCTATATATATATATATATATATATATATATATATATATATATATATATATATATATATATATATATATATATATATATATATTCTAAAGACTAGAGCCAACAAACATAAGGTTCAAATTTCACGAAATGACTTCTCCAAACAACTTGAATAACTACTATATTTCACGCACACAAACTACACACTAGACTTTATTGAAATTCTTGGGTAAATTGAAAAAATGTGTTTTTAATTTTTTTTAGTTAGTTATAAGACAATTTAGTTTTGACTCACAAAACAAAACTAGAAAAAGAGGGTAGTTTTCTCTATCTCTCTCTCTCTCTCTCTCTCTCTCTCTCTCTCTCTTTTATTTATTTATTTATCTATTTTTTTAGGCTCACTTTTTTGGTTTACCACAGGAGTTTTACAAGAATAGCCTAAAAATAAAAATATAAAACATAACTTTATACAACTAAAAGCAGAATCTAAGAGTAACCCAAACAAGTGGTCAAAACAAGCATAACTAAACTAACGCTAATTCGAGATCAAGTGGGAAAAATGTGTCTAAATCATAAAGTAATGAGATATGATGTGAATTGTAGCAGTTAGACACTAAAGATCTCAAAATAGCAAAATCTAGTTTTTATTCCTTTCTTTGGGGCATGATTGTGGCTTGCAAGGAAAATTTAGGTGAGGGACTGGTCGGCACGGGGCTAAGTTGTCCCCCTAATTTTACCACATTTGACATGGGTCGATTCATATGCACAACTACTTGCACTCTCTCCTCATGTATATATAAGAGAAGAAGCAATAACTGAAAGTCCCTAAGAGAGATTCTAATTTGTTATGTGAGTTTCCAAAAGAATTGTATTTAAAGTGTGTTGTGTATTTCAAGTAAAGATGTTTGGAGATGAGAGTAAAGAGATAACAAAAATGCATGAATGTTAATGCCCTAAACTATATGTTATGCATGAATAAAAAGTGGAAAAGAAGAAAATACAATCTTTTTTTTTTTGGAATATTATTAAAAAAAATGAATGCAAGTTATACTAAAATTTTATGCAACCTAAATGGATGCATGATATATTAAAAACAAAAGGGAATACCCCACCCGAAGCTTAGAAAGAAGCATTGTCCTCAATGCTTAGGGTGAGGCGAAAGTACCTAAACCGGGGATCGAGAGGAAGATACGAGTATTGGGGGTAAGGGTAAGGGTAAGGGCGATGTGGATAAGGGTGATTGGGCGGAGGGTATGGATAGGGAGGTGGGAGTGCAATGTTCTCAAAATGTTTTTCGATTATTGCCACCCCACATATGGTGCATTTGCTGGGACATGATATGGTTGGATACATAAAGAGTCTCGAACCGTTCGGCAAAATTAGGGATAAGTGGGTAGTATCCGGGAGGTGCTTGGAGCTCGGCTTGCTGTGGACCATGGGTGGGTTCATCACCGGACTCCTTATCTGCATGCATCTCGACATCATCTTGATCCTAGGACGCATCCTCATTCACTGATTGAGTGATGGTTCTTGCGAGTCTCCACTGAGTGAGATCGTGGGGAGTGAAGTTGGAGACTCGACTGTCGGGGAGAACAAGATATCCCACTCCTTGAGGACAATACCATGTGAAACTATTCCTGCTCCGACGACGGATGTGGTGCATGTTTGTGAGAGGGCGCTCATCCAAAATATTTTTATTGTCAAGACTCCGCGCCAAAAGGGTGACAAATCCCCCAATGCAAATATCACCGGACGCTTTGGCTCTCATGAGTGCAGATTTATGGAAAAAGAACGAAGCAAAGTCCGAGATTGGCGGGTTTACACCCCGCGTCATGCAGCTAAGGAAGAAGATCTTATTTTTGGTGACCCGACCGACTTCTTTGCGGGCAAAAACCATACACACCAAGATGCGATGGGCAATGCGGATGCATGGGTGAATGATGGAGGTTTCTTTATCCCGACCGACACACGAAAAGATACACCCAGTAATTTCCATCCAAAAGGTCTCATGATTGAACTCAGCAGGTAAGACGTCAAATATTGTGGATGTATTTGTAGAAGGCAAGCCCAAGATGTCATTTATTGTTGCAAAATCGATGTACCTTAGGTCCCCTAGAAATTGGAATGCGGCTTTTCTCTTTTTGCCATCGTACCCGCAATTGGCAAGAAACTCTCTAGTATGGTGCTCGTATGTGTGTGCCATGAGATTGAGAAGGTTTTCCCACCCAATGTTACGGAACGATTGGGTGACCTCGTCAAGAACCTTTAATGAGATAATCGTGGGTTTGCACACAAATTTGGTGGATGCAACCTTTCTAGGCAAGCTCTTCATGTAATTTTTGGCCAACTTGGCATCCTAAAATCTTGGAATGTCGGGTGCATCGTTTTGAGCTCTGGCGGGGGCCTTTCCTCGGGAGGTAGTCGGGCGTTTCCTAGATGTGGACATGGTCTACTTGCACGAAAAATAATCACTACATGAACCACAATCCCAACAAATGATATTCCAATCCAAATCACCAACCGACTCCTTATGGACCTCTAAAGAACTTCAACAATCAAAGCAAGAAATAATTTCTAGACTCATTTTGATGTGATAACATATGAATTGGTGTTCTGATACATGCATATTGTTCAATTAAAATAAAGGAAAGAAAGTACCCATTTTTGTTGAAAGTTCAATATTTGCCCATGAAAATTTGGGATTTGAAGATTTTGCAACTCTCCACCCCAAGTTTTAAGCTTGGTTCAATATCTCGTGAGAAGAACTTTACCGCGAATACCCGAAGAATCCGACAATGGCTTGAAATTATGGCAAAATTTTCCGGCGAGCTTTGAGAGATATTTTTGGTAGGTTTTGTAGCCTTGTCTAAGGGGAGCACAATGGTGGTGTCAGAAATCGCGAGAGGTGGCCGGAGTTGGCCGGAAAGTGGCGATTGAGTGGTGGTGGTGTCAGGAGTTACAACAACAGATCAAACGGGTTTTTTTTTGGGGTTTGTAGAGCTCGGAAATTGGTGAAGAATAGCGGTGGTCTCGCGGAATTCCAACCTGCGGTTTGATGGGAAACTGTGTTTTAGTGGTGGAGAAGGAGGTTCTCTATTGAAGGTTAACGGGAGAAGAATGGAGAAGAAGAAGGGAAGAAGGCCCGACTGGTGGTGGTTATTAGTCAAAAATCGTAGTCAAACCTGGTCAAAAGCAAGTCAACGTTGGTCAACAACACATGCAGAAGCGGACACGAGTACACGCGGTCCATGTGAGTAAACCCAAAATTCTTCTATTTTCCTTCGTCGCACGCGGACAAGTTCAAAGAGGTCACGCGGTCCATCTTAATAAACACGCTGACGGGATTTCAAGTACATGCGGTCCGCGTGAATAGCCCTAAAACTCTTTTGTTTTCTGATGATGGACGCGGACACCTGAGGAGACCACACGCAGACTATTTGTTTATTAACGCGGACAGGATCTGGAGTACACGCGGTCCGTGTGAATTATTGAAAGACACCAACTTTCGTATTTTTGAAAGACCCAAACTTTCACACTTCACAATATCATTACTCCAAAACATGCTATTTGCATATTCATAAAAGCAATATTTTACATTGATAAAGGGAATTACAAACTATTGGATACAAACCATCTATTACAAAGTGTTATATATATATATATATATATATATATATATATATATATATATATATATTACATAACTACCCAAGATATTGTAATATCAATCAAAGACTTTATTTAAAGATATACTTTTCAATTCTTGATATACATCAATAAGACTTTGGCCCAAATGGCATAGAAGACATGCAATTTCTGATTAACATCTTGTTAGATTTCAGACTTATAGTCCTATCTAACCATTTGCCAATGCCATAGAATAGAAGTCATTCTCTTACGGAGACATGCTCTACATGGCCAGAGGCTACGTGCCAGTACCAATGTGAATCTAAGTCCTTTCACTGATCACATGGTCAAAGGTATTACAATTGCTATAAACATAGCGAATAAAATCACACGGGAAAATAACTCAGAATAATAACACTGAAAAGCACATAGCACATATAACACATAACACACAATTGTTCCTATATATATTGAACTCATCTTAAGTTAACCGATGGTTAAAATAGTAATTTGGGCAGCACTACGGCTTTAAATATGACTTTCTATGTTGAAAACCGGGAGCTTAATTGAAAACCGGGCTCTGCGAAGGTAGCGCTTCAAAACTGAAAAGATAAAATTTTCGGGCTTCTCGGGGGTCTCGGGACGTGTTTTGGCTGCTAAAATTGATACCAGGACTTCGGGAAAAGTCAAAATAGTGAAAATATGGATTTAGGGTTGAAAAATGGCAGAATTCTAATTTTAGCCCACATGGTTCGCACCCTCTTATTTATAGGGGCGAGGGTTCGGAATTTGTGGCCGGGAGGCGTCCACGTCGCACCTGCAAGGGTCGGTCCGGAGGAGGGTGATGAGCCTGCTTAGTGGCATCAGCAGCGAAGGGCAGGTGGCGCGAGAGGCGAAGGCCACGAGGCTCGGACGTGGAGGCGATGCGAAGGCGCTTCAGGGGCTCGTGGCTGCTTTGGATTGGGGCAAGCGTCGCTTCTCAGGTTGGGCCACATCTCCGGTGATGCACCTGCTTCGTGCGAGGTGACGTGGCCGATACTGTTCATGCGAGATTTCTCAGTTTTCGGGCCCCGAACTTCCAAAATCCACAACTTTCGAATACGAGCTCCATTTTTGACGTTATTTATATACACGCGTAGCTAAAAGTACGCTCTACAACTTTTTTTTAGACTTCGTCGGGTAATTTTTAATTTATTTTTAATGTTATAATTTTTAAGAGACCGGGACAGGAAAATCCGTTAAAAATTCATAACTTATTCATCCGACATTCGTTTTCATCAAAATTTTTACCATCGTACTACATATGACGAGACCTTCGATTCTTGTTTAGGAGGTATTGGTCAAATATCGCTCGATCTAAAATTCGAGCTTTTAGCTGTCTACTACTAAGTTGAAACTTCGAAAAATGATAACTTCCTCATACGAAGTCAGATTTTGGCGTTGTTTTTATCGAATTTCTCGGTTTAACGAATACTACGACTTTCATTTAGATTTCCAAGGATAAAAAGTAGTTTATCAAAAACTCACTTTTTATGTCATTCGGCATCGTGCCGGTTTTGTCATGGATCTTCGCTTGGTCATAACTTCTTCGTTATAACTCGGATTTCGACTAGGTTTTCGCCTACAAGTTTTTAACAAGATTCTCTACAACATCAAATAATAAAATTTTACTTATTTAAAATTTTATATTTTCGCTAAATTTCACTATTTGGCTTTTAATTGGAATCTCATAAGACTTCCAATATTTTCTGAGTGATTGTAAACATAGTTTTACTTCATTTCTAGTAAAAACAATATGTTAGAACTCAACACTCAATTTCACATAGTATTTCACAATTTTATTTATTACGAAATACGATTTCAAAACGTGTATGTTACAAATACCTCCTCCTTTTGAGGATTTCATTTATGAAATTACATCGATTAAAATAAATGGGGATATTTTTCTTTTATCTCATTCTTATTCTCCCAAGTATAGTTTGGGCCTTGATGATGTTTCCACTTGACAAGCACCAATTCTACTTATTTATTGCGTAGCTTAGTTGTTCTTTCATTCACGATTTCTTCACGCTCTTTAACATATCTTAACTTATTATCCAATTTCACCTCGGATAATGGAACTGTCTCATCGTAGATGCTCAAGCATTTGCGCAAATAACTTACATGAAACACATCATGAATACCTACCAAATCTTCAGACAATTCTAAGCGGTATGCTTGCTTTCCAATTCTCTGGATGATTTTGAAAGGACCAACAAATCTAGGACTTAACTTTCCTTTCTTCCCAAATCGCATAAGGCCTCTCCATGGGGATACCTTTAGCATCACGAAATCACCCACTTGGAATTCTATAGGTCGTATTCTATTTTCTATATAGGACTTCTGCTGATCCTGGGCCGCTTTCATTCTTTCTCGTACGATTTGAATCTTGTCGGTGGTGGCTTGAATAATTTCAGGGCCTCCAAGGATCTTCTGTCCTACATCACGCCAACATAACGGCGTACGACATTTGCGACCATATACTGCTTCATATGGTGGCATTTTGATTGAAGTGTGGTAATTGTTATTATACGAAAATTCAACAAGCGGTAAGTATTTATCCCAGTTGCCACCGAACTCCAAGACACATGCACGAAGCATATCTTCTATTGTTTGGATTGTTCTCTCCGTCTGACCATCTGTCTATGGATGATAAGTGGTGCTGAGAGCAACTCGAGATCCCAATTCACGTTGCATACTCGCCCAAAAGTGAGAAGTGAAGCGAGTATCGCGATCGGAAATGATCTTTAGTGGCACACCATGTCTTGCAACAATTTCATCCAAGTATACTTGTGCATATTTCTCCATTGGATCCGTTTCACGCATGGTGAGAAAATGTGCACTCTTAGTCAGGCGGTCGACGATTACCAAAATGCTATCATGTTGTCTAACAGTCTTCGGCAATTTGGTAATAAAATCCATGGACAGGTCTTCCCACTTCCATACATGAACATTAAGACTTTTTGGGGTTCCATAAGGCTTTTAGTGCTCTGTTTTGACTTGTAAGCATACTAAGCATTCATGTACATATCTTATAATGTCTCTCTTTAATGCAGGCTACCAATAATCAGCTCTTAGATCATAGTACATTTTACTTGTACTAGTGTGTATTGATAGCTTAGACTTATGAGATTTATCTAAAATCTTCTTTATTAATCCACCAATCTTTAGAATCCATAGCCGATTCTTAAATACTTTTAATCCTCGTGGATCGTCAAGTAAAACATCGACATAATGTACCATTCCTTCCTTCTTCACACTTTCTAGCTTTAAGGCCTCAACCTGCCACTTCTCTAGTTCGTCAAGAATAGTGAACTTCACCGTCGTGTGAGTAATAGTATAAAACATACTATTACGATAAACTTTCCTGCTAAGTGCATTTGCAACCACATTAGCCTTTCCAGGATGGGACAGGATTTTGCAATCATAGTCCTTGATCAGCTCCATGGCTCGTTGTTATCTCATATTCAGAGTTTGCTGACTGAATATATACTTGAGACTCTTGTGGTCGGTAAACAATTGGAATTTCGTACCAAAAAGGTAATGTCTCCAAAATTTTAGGGCAAATACTACTGCAGCGAGTTCCAGATCATGGGTGGGATAATTCTTTTCATAATCATTCAGTTGTCTTGAGGCATAGGCTATCACTTTACCATGCTGCATCAA